CCCCGGGGTCCGCGGGCGGATCGGACGGCGGCAGCAGGGTGTAGCCCTGGGTGCTGAATTGCCCGGCGTCGGGGTCGTGGGCGCCTGGCAGGCGGAAGGCGGTTCCTGGCGGGCTGAGCTCGGAGACGTCGAGCCGCAGGGAGTCGCGGGGAAAGCGGGGCGAGTGGTCATTCACGTCGTTGACGCGGATGTCCACCTGCACCACGGCGCCCAGCAGCGTGGCGGCCACGAAGCTGTAGCGCTCCCGCCGCTCGCGGTCCAGGCGCCGCGCCGTGCGGATGATGCCGGTGTCCGGGTGCACGTGGAAGTCGTCCAGCAGCGGGGAGTCATCTGAGTCCTCTGACAGAAAGAAGCCGCTGCCCTCCTGCTGCTGCGCGGCCGGCAGCCCCGCGCGGATGTCCCCCACCAGCGTGTCCGGGGGAAGCCCCTCGTCCACGGAAAGGCTGAGGTTGAACAACTGGGCAGACGCGCCCGAGGCCGCCCACAGCCACGCGTGCACGAGGAGCCCGAGCAGGGAGCGCTGCCCCCGGGCGCCCGGGCGCACGCGGGGCGACCCTCTCCTCTCCGGCAGCAGGAGGCGCCGCCCGACGGGCGCCCCCAGCCGCGGACGCCCCGCGCCCATCTTCCGCTCGCCCGGGCTCCTTTCCCCGTCCGCGCCTCGGGAAGGCGCCCGGGTGACTGCCAGCTGGCGGCGGGATCGCAGAAACATCCAGGAACCTCTTCAGTGTCTGCGCCGAGGAGAAAAGACTTTGTTTGACAAACAAGCCGGCAGACCCAGGAGTTCCCGAGGTCACATCTGCAACTGGTGAGACGTCCTCTGCCTGCAGCTCACGCAGGCGGGGACGCGCTAGCCGCCGCCGCCGCCGCCACCTCTAAAGCCCCCGGATTCCTTGAAACGAGTCTCATCTCTTTTTCTCTCTCCTTTTATTCCTTTTACATCTGTTCCTTGTTCTGCTGGGCTGGTTGTTTCCCCCTGGTAAAGTCAGGTGCATTATCTCCTTTGCCAAAAAGGAGGAAATTATTTAAAGCGCGCGCACACGAGGAGAGGATGGGGATCGGGCCGGAGCAGGGT